AAGCAAAACAAACAACCAAACAACCAAACGAACACAATACAACAGACTGACAAATTATTTGAAACCAGAATTGCCTGTTATACCTGTTTTTCTTTTCCAAACGCATATAACAAGAAGTAAGCAAATGAAACAAGTCAATAGAATTCTCATAAGAACTACCACAAGAGTGATGGGAAATGGTTTTAACTTATTCTTATCATTGTGCGTCGTATATTTATATGCTGATGTCGTCSAACCAGACAAGTTTCCTGGAAATGATAAAATACAAATTGTGGCTTAAAAAATTTCACAAACTTCCTTGGTCCTAGTTCATTTGGTATTTGTCAATAATGTAAGTGATCTGGTCAAATGCAACTCAGTGCCACTACGTTTTTTTTTCCGATTGACTAATATAATGATATCAAACAAACAAACAAACAAACAAACAAACAGACAGACAGACAGACAGACAGACAGACAGACAGACAGACAGACAGACGCACGATCAGACAAAAAGACTACGTCGCAAATTCTTCGATGAACAGCAATCGATTTCTCAATTCTCATTTTAATCATATCCTTTTTGTAATCACTACCWAATCCTGCAATCTGATTGGTTCAAAGGAGTGCGATTAATTCCCAAATCGCATCGTTAGGAGCTCTTAATCGCATCCTTTTGAGCTCTTAATCGCATCTTTTTGAAAGAACCAATCACAGAACAGAATTCTTATATTCAGCCAATGAAACAAGCCTTTTCAACGCGTTTGCAAAGTGTTTTTCTCTGTGAATTGGTACGCGGTCGTGCAATTTTGTAAACACTTGTATGATTTTGGTCCAAATTGCACTCCACTCAGTTCAATTAATTACCATCATTAATTTTACTTAATAGTATTCATTTAGTATATTCTTATATCTTTAGTGATTAATTAAWTTTTCTTTCGGTATATAATACTGTAATATATTAATTTTTCAATATTAATTTTTCGTATAATCATACTTTTACTGTAGCTATGGCTTTTATATCATATTTTTACTATTTTGATATTTTAAGAGCAATTGTCTGTAAGCGTCGGCTGGGCCATGAAGGATAGAAAAATCGAAAATTTTCAAAACTCATTCGAAGAATACCCTCAAAGCCCTTATCACAAAAATATAACTTTTAGTTTCATCCGATCGTTTTTTTGGCGAGTTATC